ATGGCAGGGAGGATGGGGGAAGGGGAGAGCTGGCATGACAACAAGGAGTACGGAGAAGACAATGCTCTGAAATAGATGTGGTGATGATTACACCAATCTTCTTCATATGACCGAATGATTGAATTGTATGATATGTGAAGTAGATGCCACATAAAACAGTTTTTTAAAAAACCCCACCAGTGCTCTGTCTTTAATTTCTCCTGAATCGTGCACAGAGCGCATTTATAGCTATTTCAGCCAACTTCTTCATCCAACTTAATGTATTTTGCAATAGCTACTTGTACGTATTCTAAAAGCCACCTGCCTGAAGTCCTTAAACCAGGGAGAGCAGGAAGCAATGTTCTTTTTAGGAATATAGGATACGTTTTATTTTTTAACCACTCAAATAATCATGTTGACACTAATTTGGGTCCTACAGTCATTAATTACTGATTACTCCAGAGACACACGAGTTCACGGGCCCTCACACTTCCATTCACACGGAGCTTTCATCTCATTATCTCATCAAAATGTGCAGCGCACATACCTGGAATTTATGGCGATGACAAGTGGATACACTCCAGCTTTCAGGAACGACACTGCACCAGGAAGCTCACAGCTGAGATGTGGTTCTTGGGCTAATGCCAGTCCATTAAAAGGTTTTGCTCAGCGTGTACAATGTCTTAAGATTTTGAAATTTTACAATGAAAAATCCTGAATTTTTTCAGAAGATCTGACAAACGAGTCCTCCATTTCTGTTTGCACCAGGGGCTGATGCTCAACCCTAATGGACCCTTTTAGACAAGAGACGGACTTTTCCATCTGGCCCCAATACCCAACACGCTCTGCTCACAGTTGAAAAAAATAAGTGTGGTGTACCATGTATGACATGGGATTTTCCATTGTAACCATTCTTATATGTACAATTCACGGACATTATTTACACCAACCATGCTGCTCAACCATCACCACAACCCGTTTCCAAAATGTTTGCATCATCTCAAAGTCAATGGCATTCATGATATCCACAAGGCGTCAAACAAGCTCCTCCATCAAATACTTAGGAATGAGCCTAGCCAGGGATGTAAAGGACGTATAGAGGGAAAACTTCAAAGCACTGCTGCAAGAGGCCAAGTCAAACCCAAGCAAATGGGGAAATATTCCACGCGCATGGATTGGAAGACTTAATAGTGTGAAAATGTCAATACTACCTAAGGTGATCGATAGATTCAATGTCACTCTGACCAAAATTTCAATGGCATTTTTAATAGAAATGAACAGTAACCTCACCTTTGTGGAAAGGTAGGAAACCCTGAATAGCTAAAGCAATTTGGGGGGAATAAAAGAAAAAAATTAAATATGCAGGCTCACCAAAAAGAATGAAGTGGGAAGTCTCAGCTCTCTTGACATACTCTGTAGCCACTGCAATGGACAGAGGCTGGCAGTGATTTCATGACAGACACCTACACCAGTGGGGGAGAACTGAGAGCCCAGAAATGAAAACATACTTCTATGGCTAGCTGTCTTGGACAATAATGCAAAATGCATTTGCTAGTGAAAAAGAGCCGTTTTCTTGAATAAACGGTGCTGTCAAAATTAGATTTCCACGTGCTGAAAACTGAAGCAGGATCCACACCTCACACACAAAAACCAATTTGAAATAGGTCGAGGACCTAAAGTGTAAGCCATAGTTTCTGGAAGAAAACCCAGAGGGCAAAAGTAGGTGACCTATGCCTGAAGCATGAGCAACAGAAGTCAAAAATGACATATTGTGTGCATCCAAAGATTTTATCAAGAGAGTGAAAAGACACCCCACAGACTGACAAACAACTTTAGGAATGATATGCCTGAGAAGGGTTTAATAGCCCAACCCCTCCCAAGTTTCTACAAATTAGCAAGACACAGCTAAAGAGCTCAATCCAAAAGGAAAAGGTCAGGAGCAGATGCTTCCCCAAAGGTGGTTTTCAGGCACGCCAAGAACACAGGAAGAGACGCCCAAGGTCACAGCCTTTACCCAAACCCAACCCACTCCTTTTGCCAATGAGCCCTTCCAACCCATCGTGGCTCTCTAAAGAGCTTTTGAGGCTTTAAATCTGGATGGGGACAGCCAGCCTCATATTGCTTTCGAGGAGCGGTTGGTAGGTTTGAAGTGTTGACCTTGTGGTCCAATGTTTACCAGACCGTGACACCAGGCTCCTTTACAGTGATATATCACCCCCCCCTGGCTAGAATGGCCATTGATCGGAAAGTTAGAAAATACGGTTGGCAAGCCCAGGGGCGATTAGAACACATTGTCCATCACTTGTGGGCATATTAATGGTACCATGTTTTTTGGAAACCAGCATGAGGATTCTATCCTAGGGACCTAAAAGTAATACCATGACATACAGCGAGTTTGTTGGTTGGCACAAGAACAAAATATCTCCAGGTCTGAACCACCTTCAGAGTTGTGGTCCTTTCCAGGTAGACCCCTTGCACACTTGCCCCTTGCCTCCCTTTTGACCGCTGGTCCTGGTGAGCAGAGACCTCTGGGACAGGTGGTCTGAATCCCGGGGTACCAGAAAAAGGACAATGCAGCGAGAAACTCCCTCTCCAACACCGAGCAGCCAAGCTCCCTGTTGCCTGCAATCACAGATGTTCCCAATGGTAAGTGGGACTGAGGCTGCTCCAGCCGTGTGGGTCTTGGTCAACCAGGACCTCAACAAAGAGGAAGACAGTTCACCCCAGGTGGGAGGGTAGTATTTTAAGGGTGAAGAGATATTTTGGAGGGAATATGTGTGTACTCAGGAGCTTAATTTAGACAATGAACTCCCACCTACGCTGGGGCTGGGGTGGGGGATATCTTTAGATTATCTTCTGTCTATTCCCCAAATGACAGAGGGTATAGGAAGGGACTGAGGAACAAGCTGCTGTGTGGAAAGGCTGGGGCCAGCCTGGAGCTCAGCCTGGAATGCTGATTGTGCCCCAAGAGGGGCCCCCAAATGCACCGACTTGACAAGGTTCACAGACAAGCCATGTGTCAGAGTCTCCGCAGACAATCAACTGCTATCAGTCATTTCCAACTCTGTGGGGTCGCACGGGCATTCAAGTAGAACTGTGCTCCACGGGCCTCTCTGTAGCGCGTCACCAGGCCCGTCTTACAAGCAAGGTGCCTTTGGGCAGATTTGAACCACCGACTTTCCATCGCTGGCTGAATGCTTCACGGCTTGCACCCCTCAGGGACGCCATTGGAATCGTAGGCCCTTCCTTTTAAAGATAACCGTCTCAGTGACTGAGAGAACATCTTGCTTTTCTACAGGGTGTTTCAGAAGCAAGAACAATGCTTCTTCAGCACCAGGCATTTCTGCGGTGCTTGGAAATCCCAGGTCCTGCCTCCTGTGCCTTGTCCTCCGAGGGCTTCATTTGATTAAATTAACCAACCCTGCACCAAGCTGGGTCGTGGAGAGGCAGCAGGTAGGGAGGTGTGCATATGCAAAGGGTAAACATGCCTCTGGGTGCTGAGGAGGCACCATGAACAACCGCTCATGTCTTCTATAGAATCCCTGGATGGTGCAAGCAATTAAGGATGGGATGCCCAACCGAAAGGATGGCGGTTCAGACCCACCCAGTGGCGGTGCCTCAGAAGCATGCCTGGTGATCTGCTTCTGAAAGGTCACAACTTTGAAAACTTGAGCAGAGCACAGTTCTACCCACGCGTGGGAATTCACTCAACAGCGACTAACACCAACAATCTCTTACACAGTTGGCACAGCATAACAGGAGGCATATTTATCTGCTCACTTGGAGCTTTACCAAACCAGATGCACGTAGACCTAGGCGCTCAACTTCAAAGAAGAATGGCAATTCTTCTATAGGTGGGTCTTGACTTATTTACCTGCCTCTCAGCTTCTTCATGAACCAAGAATCGGATGAGATATCCAAACTTTGGATGGGTAAAAGGACTCGGGGCTATAGAAGTTAACTGTGGAGAAGGCCTAGAAGGACCTCTCTTGGCTTCTTTAGCAGTTAGTCATTCAAAAGGAGCCAGCTGGTCTCTCTACAAGGCACAGCATTACTCTAAGACCATATTCAGAACCCACTACCTGCCCGCCAGCTTGTTTCACTACAGAAGCAGTCCTGGGTCCCCTGTACCAGGTGAGAGTCTTATTTCTAAGGAAGCACCAGTTGCAGACTTGTCCTGGCACCCAGTACTCTCCAGTGCTCAGGCCTCACCTGTGATTCATTCAGTACCTCGGACAGCCTTCCGGCACCAGCATCAACACCTGTCAACTCAAGCTAGGCTTTTCCATCCAAGAATTTCGAGTAAGCACAACATAACCACTGCTTCTATTTTAAGCTCTTTTGCTGGTTCATTTATCTTACCCCCTCCCAGCCCGTCTTCTTGGCCTGGCCCATCACCTTGAGAATAATTTTGCGGGACAAAACCACGAATGCTCAGCACAAAACAGAAGACCCAGGACTGACCGGGGTCAGGGAAGGAGACAGAATGCTCTTAGGCGGGAGCACACTGCTGGCTCTGCTGTCAGTGGAAGCTGCGGGCAGCGCCCCCCTACCTGGTGAGCTTGGTGCCGATCTGCTGCCTCAGCTCCAGTCGCTCCTCGTCCGTCTGCCTGGGGAGAATGTTCTTTTCCTCCAGCTCTCGCTTGGAGGGCCGGTTGCTGAGCTTGATGGCCAAGGAGTCCTTCCTGCACACCTTCATGGCCAGGGAGCCTGTGGGAGGGAGAAGCCAATCCATTTATAGTCACCCACATCCGCCTGGGCTCCCGGCCGGCCAACAGTGGCCCACAGGGTAAAACCCAGGAAGAAAAGCAAAGGGCTTAGCATCTGAGAGTGATGGAAAACGGAACAGTTGCCGTCCAGTCATATGGGCAGCATGGCGTACAAGAGAAGACATGGGTGTCAGGGTAGAACTGTGCTCTCATGAAGTTTTTAATGGCTGTGGCTTGCCAGGCCTTTATTCTGAGGTACCACTGAGGTGGACCTGATTCTCTAACCTTTCAGTGAACAGCCAAGCATGTTTACCATGCACTCAGCCACCCTATTCCTGAGGCCTGCTCTGCAGATGCACAGCACTGTGCAGGGGGTGTGTGAGGCACCCAGGGAGCACGTGATATTGAGCCTCTGCTCTCCAGGAGTGGTGGCCTGTGGGCCACACAGCAAGGGCAGCTGAGGGATGCACTAGGGCAGGACATGAAAGGACTGAGGCCATCGGTAAGCACGGCAGCGGCTCGGAGGGACAGGGCCTTAAACAGACA